TAAGTAAACTTCTTTGCTGAACCCATGTGTCACGAGAGTTTCTTTGGAGCTGAACGGGGTAAACCTTACATAAAGCCAGGGTTCACCTTTGAGCACTACCCGGTACACACTGAGGAGCGCTCACCTTTTTCCTGTAGCCAGACTGCAAGAGGACCCGATCAACTTCGCCAGGAGATGGCCAGCGACAGTGAGGGCACGAGCTCACAGAGCGGCGAGGAGCCCAGACCAGAGGTCGCAACAGCAAGGCCAGTCCCGAACAAGGGGAGAGGACCAGCACCCATGGCCAGTTCGCAGGGTACCAGGTGGTCATTTGGCATTGGGACAGGGGCCGAAGGGTCAACAAGACATGGAGTCACAGGGAGCCACGGCGCGGGGTCCAGGAGCAGAGAGCTGGAAGAGAGGCTGAACTGGATGGAGAGCGACTTCCAGCAGCAGCTGACAGCCATACAGGGCATGCTGCAGGCATGGCTTTCCTGACCTGGAGCCCCAGCTGGGGTGGCCGCAGAGGGTGGCACGGAAGCAGGGGCCAGTGCAGGCCCCACGTCCAGGCTGGCAGCGGCAGCCAGCCTTGCGGGAGGCAAGACGGAGGACTGGTGGGCAGCAGAGGCTCTCCAGTTCAGGAGCTCAAAGAGCAAGAGCAAAATGACGGGTGTCTACACTGAGGCACACCCCGGAGCAGCCAATGGAGCCGCAGTACGAGGACCCGCTGGGAAGCAGGGACTGCTCACCCATGTGGGTCAGGGTCCACCTCAAGGGGGTGAGATCGGGAGCAGAGGCGAACATCAAGGCCCTGCTGGACTCGGGATGTACCCGCTGCCTTATCCACCCGGTGCTGGCATCCGCTCTGGGGCTCCGAATGAGGAGACTCAGGGAGCCCATCGCATTCAGCCAGTTGGACAGATCGACAGCGGGGGGGGGGAGACCGGTGCAGTATTGCACTGAGCCAGTCAGCAGGACAGTTGGGGCCCACCGGGAGGAGCTATGATTTGTGGTTACCCCGGTGGCCGATCACGCACTGGTGCTGGGTCTGGCATGGCTAAAGCACCGGAACCCGCACGTCAACTGGGCGTTCAAGACCCTGTGGTTTGGCAGCACCACCAGGCAGACTGGGTCGGGCCGCGGAGGAGACGCGATGGCAGAGGACCCAGTGGAGCTCGAGGTGCCAGCCACAGGAGGGGCAGCCAAGGGACAGCAAGCTGCAGCAGTGCCTGGAGTAGCAGCAGCGGGACCTGGGCAACCAACCGCACACAAGGCGAGGACAAGCACAGTGCTAAGGGCGATCAGAAAGCAAGAGGGGATGGCAGCAGCAGAGACAGTGGTGTCAGGACCCGAGAGCCCAGTGGCAAAGCAGGCAATGGCAGCATTGGCGCTGAGAGCAGTGGCAGTAATGGCAGCAGAGTCGACACCAGTGGGAGCCAAGCAGTCCACACCAGGTGAGGGGGGAGAAGCCGGCAGTAGACCAGGACCCTACCATGGCCAGGAGAATCTGGAGGTGTTTAGGACCCTGTGGGAACTGTTGCCTAACTCAACTACCCCTGCGACCCAGCTGGTGGCGAGAGGCGTGACCCAAGCCCAAGCGGAGAAGCAGCAGGGGGAAGCAGAGCCGGAGCTGATGCGAGCCTGCGCGGAAGCAGGTGAGAAAGACTCCTGGTTGGCAAGCAATAAAGAATCATTGAAGGGACAAGGGGGCCTGTGGTGGCGCAATGGGAAACTCTATGTGCCGGAGGGTTGCTGTATGGAGGTGCTGGAGAGAGGGCACACCAGAGGAATTGCAGGACATTGTGGATTTGTCAGGACTCTCCACCTCCTGCGCGGGCAGTTCTGGCGGCCGTCCCTCAGGAAGGATATGAGGGAACACATGGCCAGCTGCCCAACGTGTGCGACGACAAGGGGAGAGAAGGAGAATCCTTGGGGACCCTTCCGGCCAGTAATTAACCCGGCCATGGTAAGGCTCGAGTCCCAAAACCTTAGGAAGGGCCACACAGTCATGGTGGATGGGGGGGCAGTATCCCAGCAGCCCAATTAGAGAGGGGGGTCTCTCTTCAGGGGGGCGGTATGTCAGATTCAGCTGGCACAGCATGGCAAGGCGAACGCCGCTGCTCAGCTTTGCCTAGTCAATTTCACCGCTCCAGGCGCTAGCAGTGAAAAAGGGATAACAGACCGCGAACTGATTGCTGACATGTGGTGGCGCTTAACTCCAACCACAAGCGGATACATTGTATCCCCACCAGCTTCCCTCGAGTGCTGCAGACAAAGGGAAGCGCAGCGGCTCGGAAGCGCAGCAATCAGCATGCGATTGAGAATTCCCGGCTTTACACACAACAGGAAAACCCAGCAAAGACAACAACCACACAACCAATAGACGGCAATCAAGAAGACAAAAGAACCAGGCTGAATCTGATATTTGGGCAAGGGGGGATTACTGCGGGTAATCTGTAACTAAGCAACAGGGCAAAACGCGGGAATAGGGAAACTATAAAATACCATGTGAGCTATGGCAAGCCAACCCTGGTTTTGTCTGTACCTACCTACGTTACACTTAAGTAAACTTCTTTGCTGAACCCATGTGTCATGAGAATTTCTTTGGAGCTGAACGGGGTAAACCTTACAATGGCTAGGACACAGCTAGTATTTATGAGAGCCAGTTTGGTGTAGTGGTTAAGGCACCAGGCTAGAAATTGGGAGATTGTGAGTTCTAGTCCTGCCTTAGGCGCAAAGGCAGCTAGGTGATCTTGGGCCAGTCTCTCTCTCAGCCCTAGGAAGTAGGCAATGGCAAACCACTTCCGAAAACCTTGCAAAGAAAACTGCAGGGACTAGTCCAGGCAGTGTCCAGGAGTCATCACTGACTCAAAGGCACATACACACACACATACACACACGTAGGCGAAAAAGATACTTGTAATCTATTTCAAATGTAGCCTGAATCAGCATAACCAATCTGTCTTCCCCTCCTTTTCCCCCACCTTCCCCCAATTTAAATCCTACATCAATCTAGCCACTCTATGCATCTGATAAAGTAAGGTGCAGCTTACAAAACGTATGCCTTTTAATAAAATTTGTAGTCCGAAAAAATGCTTCCAGACTCCTTCTGATTCTTTGCCACCATAGATTTTCCTCCTACTATGATTTCTGAAGTATGTGTCATTCCTTTACTAAATCTTGGTTTGTGAATATAGGCTTAGTGCCCACTAAGCACTCCTGATCTATGACTCGTAGATCATACAATATAAAGTTATAATATATCTGTAGAGCCAGTTTGGGATAGTGGTTAAGGCATGAACTTGGGCCAGACTCTCACTCTTAGCCCTCGGAAGCAGGCAATGGCAAACCACTTCTGAGAAAGAGAGGAGAGAGAGAGAGAGAGAGAAATAACCAATCCAGAGAACTACTTCCTTTCTGCCATTTGAGCAGGCACACAGCTGTTCTTCCTCTTTTTACAATACACCCTTTCCACAAATAATGGATGAAACGTTGTTGACATGCATAGAAAGAAAAAGAAAACTTGCTTCCCACAGCATAAACACAGAGTCCAGATTATGTGTGTCTTAATTTCAACTGTGAAACATTTCAGAAAGACAGAAAAGCTGTTCTAACTATATGAGGGAATTATTTTGTTAAGTCAGTTGCAAATGGAGCACTATCCTGAGGAAACATCAAGGTATGAAAAGGAAAGAAAGTAGGGAATACAGATATTGGGCTGCTTCCTGGAAGTTAATAGCATCATCTGGAAAACCAGTGCATTTTTGTTAATGGAGCATTCTGTTGGCACCGTAATCCACTCATGTAGATAAGGCCTATGTCACCCCTGGCCACAAGAGAGCTCTTTTTATACAAATAATAACTGGGAGCATCATGCAAGTTACATTTGATAGGATGTCCAGTACTAAGACCATAAGAGTGCTGTGCTGGACCAGACCAACATTCACCTAGTACAGCATTCTGTATCATGTAGTGGGGCCAGCTATATTCAAGAAGATAATAGACAGAATGTAATGACGTTCTTCTCCTATTGCTCCTTGACACATGCTGTTTGTGATTCTTGAGATAGAAGGTAATAGCCAAAATGACAGCAATCAATCGCCTGATCCACAATGAATTTGTCCAGTCTCCTTTTTAAAATTAAATTGATGGACATTGTCACATCTCATAGCATTAAATCCCACAGTTTAACTATGTAAAGCAATACTTCCTTTTACTGATTATGAATTTTCTTGTATTTTGAATGGAGGCCTCCAAATTCCAACATGTGAGAAAAGGAGAAAAACTTATCCCTATCCAAACTTTTTGCTGAAGTTGAGTAAATTAAATCCACATCATGGAAGAGGAATTGTAACCAGCAATTCTGTAGAATAGAATATCTGAATGAGATTCATTCTTCCTTTAAAGGAGATTTTTTCATAAAATGTCTTCTGAATGGTATATTTAACTTTTATGGCATGTTTATTACAGGATATCAGTGCTTCAATGTCAAACAGTACAGTGACAAGCAAACCACCAGTAACATTGCGACTTGTAGTACCTGCAAGCCAGTGTGGATCTCTTATAGGGAAAGGAGGATCCAAAATCAAAGAGATCAGGGAGGTAAGTCAGTAACCATTGTTTTTATTAGCTTAATGATTTTGGAGTTCTATATTCAGAGAAGTCTTTTCATACTGACTTTTCTATGGAGAAAGAACTACCACACATAGTAGTTCCACTTAGAACATCCAGACTGTAAAAAGTCTCACTATTGTCATTAGTGATCTTGACAAGGAGCCTCAAATAATTTTCCAAGAAACTTAAACATTTCTCTGGAAAAGAGTTGGGCAGCATCTAAATTTAAGACACAATTTTTTAAAGACACAATTGGAAGGATAACAAGGTTTTCCTAGTAATCAGGAATTTCAATGTTTTTCCTCCATGAAAGAGGAAAATTCTTTTAAGGTTGATGTTTTCATATGCCCCCCCCCCTTCTTTTTGACCCATTTAACCTGTAATGGTTCAGATGCATTTACTAAAATCATGATGAGCCCATACATGTAAATCTTCATAAGGATGAAGGGGCAATGAGAGTATGTAGAATCATATACAGGTAGTCCTCACTTAACAACCATTCGTTTAGTGACTGTTTGAAGTTATAATGGTGCTGAACAAAGGGACTTACAACCAGTCCTCACACTTACAACCTTCACAGCACCCCCACAGTCACATGATCACAATCCAGGCACTTGGCAACCAGCTTGTACTTATGATGGTTGCAGCATCCTGAGGTCACATGATTGCCAATTGCGACCTTCCCAGCCAGCTTCCAGGAAGCAAAATCAATGGGGAACAGCATGATTCACTTAACGACTATGTGATTCACTTAATGGACACAGTGATTCACTTAATGACCACTGCAAAAAAGCCTTAACTACCCCAATAGAGACCTGAAAATTCATTGTTAAGTGGGGTGGTTGCTAAGCAAGTCATGCCCAATTTTATGACCACTGCAAAAAAAGTCATAAAATTGGGCATGACTTCCTTAGCAACCACCCCACTTAACAACAAATGTTCAGGTCTCTATTGGGGTAGTTAAGAGAGAACTACCTGTATTTAGATATTATTTATTGATGTTTATTTATTTAATATATTTATATAATACTGCTGATGCCAAAGCATCTTGTAATGGTATGTGGGAATGACCTTGGGAGACAGGAGGAAGAGCGGCAGCCTAAACAATGGCTCCTTCAGACTCCAACAAAATTTTAGTCTGAAGGAGGAAGAGTGGCAAAAGTGTCTCAGAAGGGACCTTCCCTAGTTTTTGGGAGAGTAAAGACTTGCAAAGATTGATGTTAGCCTTGCAAGGTAGTCCAGACAAGAAGCACAACCAGGAGTAACAGAATCTGAAAGTACCTCTCCCTTCCTTCACTTTTACTCTCCTGAAAACTAGGGAGAGCCCCTTCTGAGATGCTTTTGCCACCCCTCCTCCTTCAGACTCAGATTCCGTTTATCAGACCATTGTCTAGGCTGCAGTTCTTCCTCCCATCTCCCAAGGTCATTCCCACAGACCATCACACATCTTGAAGCAGTTTACAATAAAATGGCAATAAAATACATAATAACCAATATATTAAAACAATAGAACACAATATTCAATAAAAAATGAAATACATTGATAAATAAGTAGGGGAGAAGAAATTTCCCAAATTCATACCAGAAAGACCTAGATGAAGGGGCAAATTTTCAACAGGCACTTAAGGATGTTATAATAAGTTTTAGTTATCAGAAATAATGGATTTCAGCAGTTAGATCCTTAGCGGGGAAGAAATTTTCATTCTGAAGGCCTACAATGTGCTATAGTTTTGGTTATTCCTTGACCCATTTCCTTCGTAGGTTCTGATCCCTTCCCTGACTTCTTACTTTGATGAACTGAAGTTATATCAAAGTTATAGAATGCCTTAAAGAAAAATGTGTTTTTTGGCTTTTAAAGTGCTACAAGCTTCTTTGGGGTTTCCGACAAAATTTTTAAAAAGCTAATATCGGTACCCTTACTGGAGACTAAACCAAAATTTGTGTTAACTCCAAACCAGATAGTCTGTGATTTGTGCAGCCCATACCTTGGCTGGTTCAGCTTTAATGGCAAAGTATAATTAAAGCCAGAGAGGGAGCCAGAATGTTCAAGGGGAGGAAGAAGACTTCAGTGCACCATTCTGTGTCACCTGACTTACAGAAAGGCAGATGGGCAGAGATGCTTGGCTAGGAGATTGCAGGTACAGCTTTTACTCAGAGTTTGCCTAGAGAGTTATGGAAAATGGAAACTTATAGAAAATGTGAAGTGCAAAACAGAGTTTTAAACTTATCATATTTATTTTCTATTTTTTTCTGAATTAGAATTACAGTATAGCTTAGTTCTACGTAACAGCTATCACCATAAAGTATAGGTTAGTAAGATTTTTTTTGTTAAAAAAAATAATTACTTTCACTTCTTAAAGAGTTGCATATGCAAATTATGAATAACATAAGTGTTCTGTGTTCACTGAATTACAAATCAAGGCTGGGAAGAAACTCCAACCTGACCAAAAAATTATGGAATTGATCCTGTAATTGGGAAAAAAAAAAAACTTTGAGAAATGTCTTCTCTCCACAATTTTTCTTCTTTTAATCATTGCTCTGATTACTTGGCATCTTTACTTAAAAGTAAATCCCTGTGAATGTCATTGTTTTTCCCTGATTAGAAATGTGTAGGACTGATCTCTGACTCTCTTCCCCCTCCCCCCCAATGCACACAAAACAGATGGATATCATTGAAATATTTGGGTGTATTTTAAAATAGAATAGCATTCTCTTATATTTAAAAACATTGTGTCTAAACAGATTCTTTGATTTAATCACAAAAAGGAAGACGGGAACACATATCCCTAACAATATACCTAATATACAGTATGTATATATTAAAACCTTCTCATTTGATAAAGTCATTCAAGAAGTGAATGTATTCAGTATTCAGAAGTGAATACTTCTTGGTATCACATATGTGTGTATGCATACAGGAAGTATATTTTTGCCCATGATAGACTTTGTTTGTTGGAAGCCCCCTGCGAAGGTTGCACATAGTGATCCCCGGGATGCTGCAACTGTAAATACATGCCAGTTGCCAAGCACCCAAATTTTGATCACGGGACCGCAGGGTCATAAGTGCAAGGACCGATCATAAGTCACTTTTTTCAGTGCCATCGTAACTTCAAAGAATCATTAAACAAATGGTCATAAGTTGATGACTACTTGTATCAGGTTTGTGGTGTTTCTCTCTCCAATGTATTCCTCTACAGTCTTTCATAAGGATAGCTAACTCTTCTGGTACCCAGTAGGGTGTGCAGTTTCTTTGGATTGAACATGATTATCATGATTACTGGGTTGTGATATACAGTACTTTCTAGATGGGCCCCTGATTTAGACTTGTCCAGTTTTTTCCTAGACCATCTGTTCTCAATCTCCTTAATTCTATTGCCATTTGAAACAATTGCCAATTCCTTGGTTTCACTGGGCTTCTGCTGTTTCCTGCTGTGCTTGTGTTCTCAGTCCAATACATTCCTAAGACCAATAGGTTGCTATTTGGACCCTCCTGGATGGTGCATTCAAGACTATATCAGACTATAAGTCTCCAGAACATGCCATCTAATGGCTGTAAATCTCCAGAACATGCTATCTAATGGCTACTCCATTCCTGTAGAGGAAAATAATGCAATCAGACTAAACTTCACCAGCTGGTGATCTGACCATGAGAAAGGGATAACTGTATCCTCGATATCTAAGACATTCCCTTCATGACAACACAAAAATCAAATAAGAGTATGTTCTGTTTCATGTACATTGACTTAGTGACAGTTTGAGACAGTTCAATATCTGTCATGGAGACCATGAAATCCTGATCTGACCCTCCCAGGATATTATTACAAACAAAACTTACATTTAGCAGCAACATTCCTGGGGTTGTGGGTATAGGGATCAGAAACCATGCTATCAGGCACCTGATGAGGAAAAGGGGAGAAAAAATCAGAAATAAGAGGGCTTGAAGATATGTAGTTCATCTAGACCATGGAACGTCTCCTGCTATCTTTCCCTGACAATCACTTGGATTTAGTGTGCTTCCACTATCCTCCCTTGCTACTCCAGTGATATCCCTCATTCTTTAAACATGCTCCAAGAAATGAGAAATGAATAAAATTAAATATGAAAGTTCATAGAGAGCTTTGTCCCATCACACACCTAGCTTACCCACATATGTCCAAGCAGTGGAGGAACAGGAAGTACAGTGGTACCTCAGGTTACGAACGCCTCTGTTAACGAACTTTTCGGGTTACGACCAG